AATACGGTCCTTATCCTGGTGAAAGTGGGGGATTGCTTCATTCTGCACCCCGTCTTTCCCGACGTGCACACACCTTGCTTGCAAGTCTCTTGGTTTTCCCTGGAACCCGTCGTATCTCCGCGGCGGATGCGTTGAAGCACGTCTATTTTGTAGAATCCTCTCGGCTACCCACGAAAGCGCTATCCGAACTGCCTGATTCGTCCAGCGTGTTTGAGGTACCCGGGGTTCGTCTAGCCTGTGATCCGGGTAGGAATGCCGGTCCACTTATTCCCAGTCGTCTTAGCGGTGGTAATCCTCATGGAGTTCCGGCCGTGAATGGATATAATGGTCATGGAAAAGCGCGTTACACCCAAACTAAACCCAAAGCCGTGCCAACCAATACCTATCAGCCCATTGTGATCAACACGCAACGCAGCATTTATGATAACGACCTAGGATTGACCGAACAGTCCAATGGGACATCTGGTCAAACGTACAATAATGGCAATAATGCCAATAACAGTAACCTCAATGGACAGCATCATTTCTATCCCAAATACCAATTACCCGCACAAAACCCCTCGATGGTTTTCCCCCCAGCTCACGCACCAGCACCCCCACCCCCACCACCACATCAAACCGGAACGGCCACATCGTTTCACGTACAACCTACCTCATCTAACGTGTATCAGGTAAATCACAATGGTCGTCGTCCGTTGTCTGCGGCATTCGAACCAACTTATCTCGTACCACATTCGCTATTGACCCGTTTAGTCCCACCCAATCCATTGGATTACGTGAATATGAAGCCGCGACCTCATCCACAAGAAATTAATCACCCGACGAACTACTACTCGACCCTGGCCGCTTCGCTGTCGTTGAGTAAGACATCAAATGGTTAGTTATCGGTGTACCCCTTTTTATAGCTGCTACAGATTTACCTAGTGGTTCTAATGTTTTGATCCTCCTGAATGTTCAGTGTTCATCCACTCATGACCCGGATCAAAAGTCCTGTGAATGGTATGAACGCTGTATTGGTTTCTCTTGTTCTCCGTTCCCGTGAGTGTGTATATTTGATGCAGATACACGCTAATGGAACACCGGCTTTTTTATTTACGCTGAAATTCAGTTTTCACAACCATTAACCGTGCACTGTAATACTGTGACATAGAGTGCGGTAAAAACAACGTGTACTGTAAGACTGTTTCATCTGCATTTAGTGCAACACAAAGATTCATTGATGCTAAACGTAACTGTGCGTCCCATGATGCACATAAATAGAGTGAACTGACTAACACACAAAAGATTAACGGTGACGCGTAAAGAACACTCAATTGGGGGTCATCAATTTACGCTGGTGACCCCCATACGACCAATCTCTTGCATTGCTTGATGAAACACTGTTGGTCAATGCACACGTTGCGCAAACCAGTAAATAATCAGTCATTCTCAAGTCACTGTGAGTTTAATGTGAAATAGCTAAGAACTGGTGAAAAATACAAGTTTTATCCTACTGTGGAGCAACAGTGTGCCTAAAATGTAGGGGTTGTTTGAGTGTGATATTTTCAGGAAACCGATTATGGATTATTGTGCCCGTTGCTATCACGATTGCAGCTGTGGAAACCAATCAGGTTGTAGGAAAATATGAAGGCGTAAAGATTCATTATTCACTTTAGACCATCATTACCCTTGCTATCCCGTGGCAGTTTTAATTACTGTCTTTTGACTGCCCCATTTGGATAAAAAAGAGGAATACCGGATGCAGTACCACTGTGAATATAAGGAATTTAGGTAGGCTGAGATTGCAAGGATATCGAGTAGGTTCATGAGCATCATTGCTTACGATTCTAAGCCAAATCACTCAGTATCTCTGACCGTCGATTACAGTGATACCTGGTCCTCAATTGGGAAGCTAAGCATAACTTATATTATCGAGTTTGCTGTTCAGCTGTACGGGGCGAACTGAGGTAACATATAGTGGACATTTCACGGATGACCGGATGTCGCGACGGTGCTACATGTGTTTCAAGGCGGCAAACGCTTTCTGCACGCATGTCTACACTTCCTTCACGATACGTCTGCCATGTGAGATATGGCTACCCAAGTAAAAATATTTTTCTTCGCTCTCTCTTGCCTCCGGTTCGAGCAGGTTTAGGAGTTAGTGCACCCCAGTTCTATAAGAACATTTTAAACTTTCGAGGTGTAAATCTCATACCGAAGATAGCTACAACAGCAGCCAACCATCCCGAAAAATTTGTAAATTCACTTAGAAGTGTAATGTTTTCTACGCATTAGATCAAATCTACCACGTGGGCACAGACATATGCCACTCCTCTTGCACGGACAAGGCTGTTGCCACCATTATTCACAATACGAAATGGAATAGAAACAGAGAGGGCAACACCGATGAACACCGTCTTATATGGTGAGGTCGGACGAAAAATGACTGTAAATCCGAACTTTGCTTCCGCTATGATGGGATCTTGATGTGGAAAGTAATTCTGTCACACTAATAAATGATATATATATATATATATATATATGTATATATATAATCACCAGCTTGCGAACAAGCGCGGTTCCAACGCGACAACAATGATAACAGTAGATAGGGAAATTGGGGTACAAAACACCTAAAGGGGGTTAGCAGTGGCAGTGGATAACAAGAATAACAATTTGTTTGCTTGCTTCACCATACATTTATTGATAGTACCAAAACACCTTCCGGTCGACTGAATGCGTGGTCACTTAGATCGAGGAAAGTAGACATTGTGGATCTATGAAAGAAATGTCAGTGTCTGTCAGACGTTGGCGAATACTGACGTAAATAAGATGACCTACTCGCACCATTTGGCTGGAACCTTTTCTGTTACGCATAATAAACGCGGGAGTTTTTCAAACCCGATAGCAAAGCTAAGCCGCCATCCTTAAAAGCCGTTAGGGTCAATCCATCCGGGATGGAGACCTTATACCTTCCAAAGTTATTTATTGCTCACGTACTCCTCATTTCAAAAGAAGGCCTGGCATCAGCTGGTAGTATTACGCAGTTTCATCAGATGTTTGTACATCTAATTTTCATAAAGGCTAGTTGAATGTGCCCTAAACATTCCATCTGTGGCTCCAAACGGGTATGCTACATGTAAATCGACGTGTAACTTTACGGGAAAGATTTTCATTGTCACCAACAGTTTTCTCCATTTTTGTACATGTGCTCTGATTGAAGTTATTTCTTGTCTGCCTACTTCAAAGACTTCATACGTCTACATAGGAAATTTCCAGGGCTCTAGCTAACGTGACCCGTTAACCGATCTGATAGTGTGTAGACGGTGGATGCGGCTTAATAAAATGCAGATTTCTGTTCCTTTTTTCTCGTAAAAAAATCATTAGTTTCCAATTGGCTTGCCTTCCTCGTCAAATTCTTAGTGACATCCCCTTGAGGGGTGGAAACAGGGGACATCTCGTGCGTTTTGAAAGGAGAAAAACGAACCAGAAAAATATAAAAGGTGCCTGAGACTTTAGGGCGTGGTATACTTCGTTGTAAAAAAACATCGGCGGAAGGATTTTTCTCTGTAAATTTTAACTGGAGCGTTCGACCCACAACAAGGGACCTGAGTCCAACACGGTGAGGCTATCCTAGCACACGTGTGAGAGTTTCTACCGACCAGTCGCTCAAATCCCGCGGGTTTCAGTTCAGTATATTGTTCACTGGCGCCATGATTATCAGACCGGTGTTCGTTATCGTCCCTTAGCCTCTTGCATCCAATATGACAGGCGAACGTGACGTGCCACCAACTTATTGGCTCGGGGAGGTTTCAGGCGCTCGTATGTACAAGAGCACTTCTGGAGGTGTGCAGAGGGTTGCTGACCGTTCCAGACTTGAGGCACCCATGAACATAGTTAAACAATGTCACCTCGGCTGGCGATAAAACTGAAGCAAATTGCCAAGCTCGGCAAACAGGCGAAACGGAGAGTTTCAGATAACCTCTAAACGTCATTGTTTAACGTGGTTTACAACTGCTATTCGTCATACAAATTATCTTAGATCAACTCATATACAATATTTACACACGTTGATACCATTTCCATTGATTCATTCGAAATTGTACACCGAACCTAATCCATTGTTTACTCTCTCCCTCCCCGGTTTTAGGTAAATACGAGGACAGGCGCCGAAGTCTTTTCTCCTAGGTGCAATCCAAACTCGATCTCAGTTCCTCCATTTGGATGCCTCGTTCCCATTCACGATGCGATATCAGCCATGCTGTCTTCTTGTGTCCATGTTATCCAGTGCGCATCCGTCTGTGCACAGGCGTGTGTGTACACGCGTGCATTAACGCATGCTGTTTTAAGGATAACAAACACACGCTACTCCATCCGGGATAGCCATGTCCTCTTTTACCTGTACAGTTTCTCAATCCCCGCCCTCCAAACGCATTGAGTAACGCGAACTGGCACCAAACTCACTCGTATCTCGGTCACCCACCTGTTTTCATTTCGTTCGTTTGTTCACTCGCTCACTCACTCACCCAGTCCAACCCACCTTTGAATTTCCCATCCTCGCCAGCGAACAGCGCAACTCATCCGTTTCTCTGATTTGATTATCATGTGCTTTTGACTTTATTCTCTCTCGACCTATGTGCTGTCCGTCTCCTTCGCATCCGCTCTCCCTCCCTCTGTTTGATCCTTTCCCCCGTTCATTTACACATTGTGCATTTTATTTTCCGGTACTTCTATTTGCATCTGTCGCTCCATCTGACTCATTCATTTCAATCCATGTGGCTCGTTCGTCCTTCTGTCTGTCTGTTCGACCTCACCTGGCCGGTATGCAGTCGTGACGGACTTGCTCGGCGCGCACTGCTCGCACGAGTGGCACTGAAAATTGTAATCCCGTTACGCAAAACCGACTATATGTTAATCGTATGTTGTCATTTCATCATTAGGCCTAAAAAAGACCAATCAATGCCTGTTGTACATTTACCCCTTCCCTAGCCCCTTATCCTTCGAAAATGTCTTCTCTCCATGGGTCTCATGAACCCCTACCTCTTTCTCTCTATATATGTTGCATACACACACAGACAAACGTACTTGCATACATACACACACCCGCAAGCGTCTATTCACAGAGCATTTTCAATCAGTATATATACATATACAAACACAAATATATAATCTAATCATTTGTTTTGTCCCGTTCTCCCTCCCCCGCAACAGTATCGTATCGCGGAGCACATTAACCGATAATTAGGTTCTATGCATCTGTTTGGATTTCCTGAGCACAACGTTGCCGTCCAATAACCATTCGCTGTGTGTTCTCTTCGTCTGGAAGTCGACATCTAAATGCTGGCTATATAATGCTCTATCGACTAAAACTTAATTTTCCTGTCAGCAGTGTAGTTGCCGTTTGCCAGGAGCCAGAGAATATTTTCTGAGTCGTTCTCGCGAATTCCCGGCTCACTTCGATGTTCTCTAGCATGAACATTTGGCTGGGGTACCGAACTCGACTGATTCAGTTGTTTGTGTATTTGTGCTTGTCTACGTGCAACATACTGCATGATTGACATTTCTACATCCGATTTCACGCTAGTTAAGCCAGTTTTTCTGCACCCCTCATTACATACACAGAGTTCGGTCTATGCTGTCAGCTCGCTGGGTGCAGGTGATTTTCAAACAGTGTCCGATTAGATCACTGAAGTGCATAACCACAGAACAAAATGACACTCTGTTTGGGGAAACGCGTGTCAGGAAGCTCTCAAATTGCTGTCCTCTTTTCATTTTCGCTGGATTTGATTCCAATTCCACGAGCTACTAGAGCCTTTTAATGCTGTTCAGTTCAGTTCTTACAACCATTGATCATGCATAGCACTGATTGGAACACTGTTTTTCAAGTGTACCAGAAACAGAT